GAGAAGGAAACTGAACTAGAGAAACTCTAGGGTTGAAGACCTGTTGGCAGATGACTTATGCTGAGAGATCTACATCAGAGCCTTTAAACAGCCAACTGTTGCTCAACCCCTGCAGCCACAGAATAAATCTGTTCATGAAACAAGTAGGAATCCTGCCAAGCCCTGTCAGGTGGATGGATGTTCTACTTAATGCCAACCACTGAATCTCTCGGATATACCATCTGATCTACCTGAGAATTAAAATTAGCGCAAACATGGAATCTCCTTTCCTACTTTTTTTTTTTTTTTTTTTTTTTTGTTCTGTGACTTAAGGCTGAAGTTGGGAGAAAGGAGAGAGATTCTGTATATACAATGAGAACATAGAGCTCCCCTGGAGTTCACAGGGAGGGGAAAGTTGGATGAACCTGACTGATATGACCAGCACTCTCTCCCCATCCTCCAATGCAATGGTGTCAGCTATATGTTGCTTAGTTAACAACATCATCCCAGTAGTTTAACATAGATCTTGTATCTTTCAGCTTTTCCTCTGGAAGGATCTGTCTCCTTGTCTCCTTCAGGGGAAATACTGTATCTATGAATAATTGATGCTATAAAGGATTTCTACTTCATACTTTGCTGAATTATTTTTCATTTTTTGATTTCTAGGGGTAACATTTTTTATTGTCATAGAAAAATAGAAGTGTAGAAGAAGTAGTATTTTTGAGAACTATGACTTCCTATGTGGAATACACCAGCTCATGGACCTGGCCATTTGCTGACAGGTAATGAACAGACCTCCAGTCTTACAAAGAAATACCTGCCAAATGTTTTGTCCCAACTTCTGTGACCAGCTGCAAGAAAGGAAGGCAGGAGGCAGAAAGGCTGAGCAAACAGAGTTTATTGCTCTGGGACAGCAGCTGAGACGGAGCCCCTAAGCCCCTAGAGTGGGGTCCGCAGCTACTGCCAACTCAATAAGGGGGAAGGGTCTCTTATATAGGTCCTAAACTCAGATTTCAAAGGGGTGATTCATCGCTGTGTCCTTGATGTAAGGCCCAGTTTGTTATCACCTTCATCTAGTCCCATCCCAACGCAAGGACCCATTAATTAGATGCAAGGCCCAATTTATTACCACCTTATCACCTTTGGATGCAAGGCCTGATTTATTATTGCCCTTATCCAGTCCCTCAGTAAATCTCCGCATTTGGTCACTCCCAACACCAAAAGGGATACATGGTCTTAGCTAAAATGAAGGTCCAGGATTGGGTGCAAACATACACTTTATAAAAAAAAAAAAAAGAAACAAAACTGAGTACTAACGTATTTTGAAAGGGAAATACAAACAACATCCATTAATGAAACCCTACAAATATGAGTGCAGGCCCAGAGAAGCTTTTACTGAACACCGGAGATGGAGTTTCTCAGGGCTGTTGTCAGGGTTGAGATGGTCATTGTCAAGAGATCATCCACTGGTTCCTTTCCCTGAATTAATTGTGCTCCCACAATGAGCATAGTACTAAGACAAGAGACCCCTCCCTGCAGCCTTCTATGACACAGAGC